ACTCAATTCATTTGCAATGTTAGAAAATGTGAAGCCATCTACAGGTCTCAAATATTCGTATGCACAAGTAGTTGTTGGATATAACATACATGTGTATAAGCATGAAACGAAGAAGAAGAAGAAGGAACAACAAAAAAGACTTGGAGGGCCCGGCGGATTTCTTGGATCTGCGCAGAAACCCCTCCTTGGCGCCCTGGCGCGCAGGCGCGCGGAGCGCGCCATGGGCGGCGCCAGACGCAACGGCAGGGGGGCTCCAGGCGCCGACCCCAAAAAATCCGCGCGGATCTCCGACAGCTTCTGTTTGCAATGTTGTCCTCCGAACCCATGTCGATCCCCCCGAGCCGCCGAGCCCAGGCGACGGGCGGTCGCAAGCTTGAAACGGCGCACCGCAACCGGTCGCCCCAATCTGGCCGCAAACACGGCCTCTCCAGGAACGCGCCGGCACGCGCAGGCAATGACTGCATGGGCGCAGCCCACGTGAAGTGTGAATAGCGTGACAATCCCGCGAGCGACTACTGCATTGGCCATCCCACCACACGACGGCGATCGGGCCAAGCTGCAAGCGCGTCCCCACAAGAACACCCGAATCGTTTCTTTCACGGGGCATGCGAGTAGCCGCTTAGGCTTGAACCCTCCAGCAGGAGCCCACGAAGGGCCCTCCCATGCCACTTGTAGGAGACCTCATGCATCCTATTGGCGAGCCGCCGCAGTCAGTGAAGAAGCCTGTGCACAACCCTCCCTACAAGCCTCCACTGCTCACCCTCATCCTCCTCCTCCTCCTGTTCGTACTCCTCTTCCTCCTTGTCCGCGTCCTGCTCCTCCCCCTCCTCCTACGCATCCTCCTCCACGTCTTCCTCTTCCTCCTCATCATAACCATCAGCGTCAGCATCACCATGATTATCACCAGCGTCAACAGCATCGCCACCATCAGCATCACCATCATAATAATCATCAGTATCATCAACATCATGAGCATCATCGTCCGCATCATCATCAGCATCATTATCCTCATCACAATCACCACCACCACCCTCATCATCATCATCATCATCATCATCATCATCATCATCATCATCATCATCATCATCATCATCATCATCATCATCATCATCATCATCATCATCATCATCATCATCATCGGTATCCTCATCATTATCACCATCATCATCAGCAGCATCATCACCATTATCATAATCAGATTCATGGTGTTCCTCCTCCTCCTCCTCCGCTTCCTCCTCCTCCTCCTCCTCCTCATCCAACTCCTCCTCCTCCTCCTCCCCTACTCCTCCTCCTACTACTCTTCCTCCGTCCCTTTGGAGCTCTCAAGACCGAAAGCCTCCTTGGGCCTCCCGGGAACAAAGAGAACCTCACGAAACCTCTGGAACACCGTGCCAACCCCTCCGGGACGGAGGACGGACCGCGATGCGGTGACGTCCGGCACCCCTGGCGTGGCTGCCGCAGGCCCAGCGTGGCCGTTGCTCGTCCACGCCGGGGTGTGAACGCGACCCAATTGGCAGGAGTCGCAGCAACCAGTCCGACAGCAAGTCCTCCTCCGTCCTCCTCGGCCCTCGCTCGTCGGACCCTTCGAAACATCGACACGTCTGACCTTTCTGTGGGGACGCTTGGCCCATCAGCACAAAGTGCGTCCAGACGTGACACCGAAAGGTTGCAGACAGGCCCCAAACGAGGACCAACTCTCAACAACACGTTGGCAACCATTGACCCTCGACCGTCCCTCCGCCTGCTCCTCCCTGTCTCCTTGATTCCCTCGAGGGTCGGGTCGGACCATGGCGGGGGATAGCGAACGCGGGTGCTAGCGAATCCGCTGCATGCAGCTCGTTCCAGCCGCTTCGGGCGCCGCAGGCGCCAACGCATCGATGAACGCGCGCGGCTGCAGGGCCGAACAAATCCGTACTCTGCAGATTTCGCACCTCCCTCTTTCCAAATTCCCCTGTTTCGTTCGACCCAATACACCACCCAGCACCTCCCCCTGCCCCCATCCCAAAGCAGTCCCCTCCACCCTCCCTCCCGCTGCCCGTCCAGCACCTCCCCCCCTCCGCCGCCTTTCCCTCTTCCTCCTCCTCCTCCGCCTCCTCCTCCTCCTTTTCCTCCTTCCTCCTTTCCTCCTTCCTCCTTCCCTCCTCCTCCTCCGTCCTCCTCCTCCTCCTCCTCCTCCTCTCTCCTCCTTCCCTCCCCCTCCTCCTCCTCTCTTCTCCTCCTCCTCCTCCTCCTCCTCCTTCCTTCCTCCTCCTCCCTCCCTCCCCTCCTCCTCTTCCTCCTCCTCCTCCTCCTCCTCCTCCTCCTCCTCCTCCTCCTCCTCCTCCTCCTCCTCCTCCTCCTCCTCGTTTGCCTCCTTCTGTTTTTCCTTCCCTTCCCTCCGTTCCCCGTCCCCCCCCCGTCCTCCAGGGAACGGCAGGGAAAGGCTGGCGGTTGGGAGGCCCGCCCACCGTGCCCCCCCCCACCACCCTGGGGGCGCCTCGCTGTCTGTGCCGGCCTTGGCCTTGGCGGAGGGAAGGCGACTAAAACGACGAAGACGAGGGTCCTCCGCAACATTTCACCACCGCCACCAGAACCACCGGAACCATCACCATCCTCATCATAATCAGAATCAACGTCAGCATCATCATCATCATCATCATCATCATCATCATCATCATCATCATCATCATCATCATCATCATCATCATCATCATCATCATCATCATCATCGTCAGCATCATCATCATCATCATCATCATCATCATCATCATCATCATCATCATCATCATCATGCTCATCATCGTCGTCGTCATCATCATCCTCATCATCCAAAAACATCGCCACCATCAGCAACGCCACCATCACCATCAGCATCGCCAGCATTGCCAATACCATCATACTCATCAACACCATCATCATGATCCCCGTCATTGCCAGCACCATCATAAACATCAGTATGATGACCATCCACAACATCATTCCCATACACATCATCGTCGTCATTATCGTCAAACTGACGACACCACAACCAGCACCACCATCATCATCAGCCCAACCAGCACCATCATACCCATCATAACCTCCCCCCAAGCTCACTCATCATCCTCACGCCACCCTGGCCTCGGTATAGCATGTCCAAATAGGCCACAATAATATAAATCCGAGTGTTACATAGCATTTGGAAACAAAAGAGAGTGGTTGGCAAGGACGCTCGTGGTTCCCGCCGAAGCGCTGTTAGCTCAAATATATTTGTTGGCGCCGTCAAGCGTTGGACTAAACAGCCCTGCGGGAAGAAGAGGAGGAGGGAGGAAGGAAGAGGAGGAGGGGAAGGAAGAGAAAGAAACACACAAAACGATTAAGCCATTCTATACGTTTCTGTTACCGCCAACTGATACCAAGGGCGGCCTCGTGACCTCCCGGTCGCCAAGTTCCGAAGGGTACCTTCGTGGGTGGCACAGAACCTCGATGCGTAAAGAGTTGGCGCTGCTGCTCGCGATGTTACCAAACAGTGAGAGCTGAGCTGCCTTACAGCGAGAAAAACCGAGAGCGGCTGAACCGACGCCCTTCTTATGACCACATCGTTGCTGACTTTTGACACGTACGAGCGTAAGGTGCCGAAGACGCGCCTCGGGCGTCTGCATTTGAAGGCGTCCTGCCGAACTCTTCCGGCACGGAGGAGCCACACAGAGTCGAGGGAACACAGCAGGTTGCTCAACGCGCGCGCCTCGTAAGTCTCCAGCTCGCGCGGCGGTCGAAGGACAAGGGGACCACATCTTCGGTAAATTGTCGAAGGTTGCGGTCGTTTCTCCAGTGCGCCGGGATAGCTCCGACGACTCCTTTCCGTCGCAAGTGATCCGCCCACCGAGGTACACGGCTTCCCAGACCAGGTTAATAGGTCCACCATCTGGTCTCGTGACGCTCGTCCCTGTCGAGACTTGCATATGGAACGTTTTCATCCGGGCTTGGCTCCAATATGTATTTCCTGCCCTCCTCGCCGAACGCGTCGGGCAAACCGTGCAACTTCTCCAGAGCCTGGGAAGCCAAGAGAATACCGCAGGCATACTGAACATCTCTGGTAACCAAGAACACGGGCTCATCGCGAAGATCGATTCGTTCGAGCACGTCGTGCATGCGGGTGTCTTGCGCAGCTGCGGAGGGGTAGGGCCGCAGCGGGCACCCTGGAGCAATTCCTGCGGGTCGAGGCCTCTCTGAAGATGAGCCCGCGGGATCGCGCGTGACAAAGTACGAACTTCCGTGGATCGCCGCGGGAAGATAAGAGGGGATAACTAGTACACTGACTGTGCCTCTCGGGAAGAAGACACTCCATACGAGATTACTGACCCGCCAAAACAGCGCGGACAAGACCTCCAAGATGGAGACCACAAGCCACAAGCGTCCCAGCATGTAATTGTGACTGGCGCTGGGGGAGCGCCCCGTATGCAATCATGGAATTGGCCAGCGCTCGAGCGGCAAAACCATGCGTTCCCCGGCGGTCGGCGCTGAGGCGAAACACAATTTCCTAATCAAATATGTGGCTGATAACCCCGCGAACCCCCCGCGATACCATTAGCACACAAAACAAAGCATTAAAAGAGAATTGGTCTCGCCTCGAGGAATGGCAAGGGAATATCACAGGAAACTCGAAGGAACCCTGGAAAAACCTGAAGAAATTGAAGGATGCGGCCTCGCGTGGGACATAAGCAACCCCAACTGCGATCTCATGGCAGAAAGTGATCACCATTGCAGGACATCCGATGAGAGAATCCACGCGGGGATATCGGAGACAGATTCTGCGACCTCTCCCCCCGCGACACAGTAGCACATTTATAAAACAAGATAAGATTCCAGCCACAGTGATCGAAGTGGCGATTCCTTCAGCGACTCCTCGAAAGGCGCTTCGAAGGAACTTCAAAAGAACTTCAAAGGAGCCCCGGAGTCCGACGACCCCCGCTTGCCGGGAGAAGGCCTGCGAGATGATTGGCTGTCCCCCTCTCCCTTTCCCCCTCCCCACAGGGCCCAGAATCCGCCGACCCCTTGTGGGCCTCTAGGCGTGTGAGATTGTTCCCCCCCCCCCGTGGACCCCAAACCGCGAGTACGACCCCCCCGCCCCCCGGGGGCCCGGGACGACCCCCGGTGGAACGCGCCACGGGGGAACGGACGGCCTCACAACTGGCCAAGAGGGAGGATGGTCCGCCCTGGGGTTGCGGTCCGGTGGGTCCGGTGGGTCCGGTGGGTCCAGTAGGTCCGGTGGGTCCGGTGGGTCCGGTGGGTCCGGTGGATCCGGTGTGTCCGGTGGGTCCGGTGGGTCCGGTGGGTCCGGTGTGTCCGGTGTGTCCGGCGGGTCCGGCGGGTCCGGTGGGTCCGGTGGGTCCGGTGGGTCCGGTGGGTCCTGTGGGTCCGGTGTGTCCGGTGGGTCCGGTGGGTCCGGTGGGTCCGGTGGGTCCGGTGGGTCCGGTGCTTTCTGTGGGTCCGGTGATTGGGTCTGGTGGGTCCTGTGGGTCCGGTGGGTTCGGTGGGTCCTGTGCGTGTGGTGGGCTTTGTAGGTTCGGTGCGTCCAGTGCGTCGAGAACACTCCTCATCTTCATCATCGTCGTCATCCTCACCATCCTCATCGCAATCATCAGCATCGTCAGTATCATCCAAATCACCATCCTCATATTCATCCTCCTAATCCTAATCCTCTTCATCCTCATCGTCCTCCGCATCGTCATCCTCGTCATCCTCATCCTCATTGTATTCTTCATCCTCATTGTCCTCCACATCGTCCTCATCGAGTCCTCATCCTCATCCTCATTTCTATCACCAGCATCCTCCTCCCCTCACTGTCCTCCTCCTCATCCTTCCTGGAGGCCTCCCGCATGGGGCCGCCCGAGGATGAGGAAGAGCAGCATAAGGAAGAGCCCGAGGAGGAATAGGCGGAGGGCAAATAAGACAATATGCAGCAGCAGCAACAGCAGCATGGCACACAGAGAAGTGGTATACATATGGTGTGAACATGCGAGCGCCATGAGTGAACGCGAACGCGTGCACGAACAGAACTGCCCATGGCAACGCCTCGCTGAGCGGGCGGGCCCTGACGGGCGGGTCGGGTCGGGCGGGCGGGAAATTAAAATACAATGCATCGTCGAGCTAACACGCGCGGCTCCAGGCGGGACGGGTCGGGTCGGGCGGACCCTGGCGGGCTGGGTCGGGACGGGTCGGGCGGGCCCTAGCGGGCGGGTCGAGTCGGGCGGGCGGGCGGACCCAACGGGCGGGTCGGGACTGGCGGGCGGGACATTGACGTATTATGCATCATCTAGTTGGCACGCGCGTACCCTCGCGGGCGTGTCGGGTCAAGTCGAGCGGACCCTAACATGCGGGTCGGGTCGGGCGGGCGCACCCTAACGGGCGAGTCTGGTCGGGCGGGCGGGACATTAAAGTATGATGCATCGGGTTGGCACGCGCGTACCCTACCCTACGCGGTGATGCATCGGGTTGGCACGCGCGTTAGGGTCGGGTCGGGTCGCCCGGACCCTAACGGGCGGGTCGGGTCGGGCGGGGCGGGGCGGGCCCTAATGGGCGGGTCGGGTCGGGCGGGCGGGACATTAAAGTATGATGCATCATCGAATTGGCACGCGCGTACCCTAACGGGCGGGTCGGGTCGGGTCGGGTCGGCTGGACCCTAACGGGCGGGTCGGGTCGGGTCGGCTGGACCCTAACGGGCGGCGGCGACGACGCCAACAACGACGACGCCGACGACGCCGACGATGACTACGACGCGGCCGACGCCGACGACGACGACGCCGATGCCGAGGGCGCGGACGGGGACGATGACGCCGACGCCGACGCCGACGCCGACGACGACGACTGCGGCGCCGACGACAACGACGACGCCGACGACGACGCCGACGACACCAACGACGACGGCACCGACGACGACGACGACGACGACGAAGGCGCCGACGCCGACGACGACTCCGCCGACGACAGCAACGGCGGCGGCGACGCCGACGACGCCGACGACGCCGACGACGTTGACGCCGACGACGCCGACGACGCCGACGACTACGACGCGGACGACGCCGACGGCGGCGGCGACGACGACGGTTGAACCGAACGGGCGGGCCCTCACCGAAGAGGTCCTCCCGAGGCCGCACAACAGGGTCTGCCGAAACATATCTGCCGACGCGGACCTGCAATTCGCGCGCTCGGAGTAGCCCCTGGAGGACCCCGGACGAAAAGTACCCGGCTGATCCCCGGCGGAATCCCGGTCAACTCCCCCAGAGCGCTCCAGGAGAGGAACAGCACGGCTCGGAGACGTCCCAGTCGCCGAAAGATCGCCCCATGTCGGTTACGATGGCCTCCAGACGGCCTCAGACGCCGAAGAAGCCCCGAGAGAGACACAAGAGGCCAAAGACGTCCCATGCCATTGGGAAAACATATATGCTTAACATATTCACCCTTGGGTGTTTCACAGCGTCCAAGATTGCCCACAAAACCTCCAAGATCGGCCCAAAAAGGTCCAACGGGGCCTCCATTTGG